TTGTTCTCTTTTGACAATTATTCCGTGATTAGGTAAGTAAATGTGGATCAATTCAAGCATTTTATCTAGCCAGAATAAACTTGTCATTCTATCCTGCCAGGATAAATTTCTGTCACATCACATTGTGGGTATCGAAAATGTCATCAACAAACATCCACAATGCATCTAAAACCGAGAAACTCAAATTCGGTAGACCTTTTTTTATATATTTTTATTAAATTTAATTAATATTTTATATATTTTAAAGATACTGAAAAAAAAAAAAGAAGAAAAAAAAGTGTTAAGTGAAAACCTTTGATGTCGGATCAAGATACGGATTTACCATAGCTATACAATCTTAATTCTCAATAGCCAGGTCAAGATCCACCCTCCATAGTTCTTATGAATTTATGATAGCTAAGCACACTCAATTTCTCTCGCACAAAAAGAAATGAGCCCAAAAGTTCATGCAAATGCCAAGACCGATGGAAACCGGAGGCCACAATACAGACAGGGATGCCAAAGTGAAATGGAGAACTGCGAAACACCTTCACCACTTGATTCCCAGAACAAAGGCACAAAGAAATATGCAAAAAGGTTCCACAGCAGAACAGCTGAGACCAAATTACACTTCCTTAAAAAAAAAAAAAGAAAAATACAAAATGAGATAAACCACATTTCAGTGCCTCTGATAAACTGACAATATCATTTTGCCCACGCACCTTCTCTGCTTTTCTCCTAGCCCTGCTCAACGCACACACCAATTAGTTGAACAATAATTCAATAAATATATAAAACTGAAAAATGAAGCCAAATTTGTTATACCTGTGATGGATCTAGTAACTCTACAATCCATCAAGTAGTGTGATCCAGCAATGGGAAAACCACCTTGAGCTTCTTTTTTGTTTTTTTTTTTTTTTTCTTTGCAGAACACCTTGAGCTTCTTTTCCACTAATAAAACCACAACACACCATCTTCTGTCTAATGGTGTCCCTCTGTCATCCACCCATATTTGAGTCTCCTCCATGATCAATCATTACCACCATCTACTCTATCATTGCCACTCCTTCGTCCATGGAAGTTGCCCCCACCACGCCGTGAATGACCATGACCCCTCTCCCTGAACCTTCCACCTGTATTATGAGAACCATCTTTTGGTCCTTCAGGATTCTTTGCTCTGTTATTATTTTGTGGCCCAACTGGCTGGTATTCATAACGTGAATTGTGCCTCAACCTATCGCGGTTTGCAGGTAGGTTATGTTTTTGACCAGACGAGCTCCAATCTCCATGAGATTCTTGCTCTGTACTGAATTGGTTATTTTGGTTTCCATTCTTATGTAACCCTAGCATGTGTTGCTCAAGTTGAGTTTCCACATTTGATGGAGGAGGCTCAGTTAGAATACCAGCATCATGATTTGGCGAGCAAGGGCGTCCTTTCGTTGATCCTACACTCCTTTCTCTCTTGGTATCTTGATGCCCCATTTCTACGGTTCCTTCAACATTGCCTTTCTCAGGGACAGATAGATCACTGAAAGGCTGTGGCTGTGCCATACCTTCACTGGTTTGCTTGTGTGGTCGATGAGGTGGAAGATGCACCCTACCCTGGGAGTTAGAATCTTTTCTGTTGCCCTTACCATTTTCAGCCCCAACATTTTGACTACCATCAGGCCTGTTTCCCCCTTGATTAGGGGTTGAAGATTTGGGTTGCCAAGACAATGTTCGATCCCCAGCACGATTTTCTTTTGAAGTAGCAGGGAAGTCTGTTTGGCTTGTATCAGCGAGTGGGGAGAGTGTGTTGGGTTCAGCTTCACTGATGGTTAATTTCTTGTGATCAGACTCATGACTCTTTCTGATACCTCTGTGTCCTTTCGTCACATGCCGCTTTCCTCGGGCTGCCACTCCCTGGTCTCTTGCAACAGACACTGACAATGGTATAGAAGAATCAGGGGGGTCAGGAATGTTCCAGCCATCATCAGAGTTCCATTCATCATAGTTGGGCTGCTCTTTTACTAAGTTTGCATCAATCTTCTGGTTTTGCTGGTACAATGTTGATTTATGAGCGTTATTATTTGGGTTGGAAGGCTGTCCATCTTGCATATGATGCATCGATGATTCAGCTGAGGCACGTTGGCGCCAAGGCCCATGCCCCTTTCCTTGCCTGTACTGTCTACCATCACCACTCCTCAACTCTGTGGTAGTTGCTGCCCCTTGAGCAGAATCAGTTCTCCAAACAGTCTCATCAACTCTAGTTTGATTGTCTAGAGGAGCCACGTGCTGCTGAATAATTCCTTGCTGAGCCATTTCTTTGGCAGCTGGCTTTGGTATATACCTTTCTATCTCTGCTCTCTTGTTTTTTGGATTATTCTGCAATTGAGGATCACTCTTCACGGATGAAGAACCAACATCAACATCCATTTTCTGGTTCACTTCTTCTGTGGCCTCATTTCTGTTATGTGATCGCACAGGTGCCCAATGAGGCTGTGGATTTCGAGCCGCCCTGCGAGAATGCTGAGTTTTCCACTGGTTATTTACCTTCCCATGGAATTCTTCATTAGGTGAAGATGATTTCCGCTCCAAGGATTGATTTGCTTCTTTAGATTCACTTAGAGACTGAACTGAGTTAAAAACCAATTCAGAATCAGAAGATTTGGCTTTGCCTTCCACTGAATTGTTTATAATATTTGTTTCTTCTGACATGCCAGATGGTAATGCAGCCATAGATGAAGCCTCTTCCACCTTGTGCTTGTTCCTGCTGTATTTGCCACTCTTTCTTCTCTGTTGCATTGAGGACTCAGTCGTGATATTTTGGGCAGAATTCAAGATGGTGTTTGAGGCAATTTCATTGGCAACAACTTCAGTAGACGAAGCAACATCAACTGCTGTATCAGGTTGACCCTTTGGTGCCTCACTTGTATTGGCAGAGACAGATATATCAGTGGAACTCTTCTGCAATGGAATGTTATGTTTTTGTCTACAGCTCAGACGCTTCTGCTTAGGAGCACTGCCATTGGTTACCTCTGGTGCATTATTGCAAGGAGGATCAGCATTATTAGCACCCTCTGGTAAGGTCAGAGGTTGAGCATGTTCTTCAGTGGAATCCCCCTTTGCACCCTTTGTTGACTCTGGAGGCAGCTCATTGGATAAAACAGTTGACTTCTCAACTTGAGTGATGCCTTCACCAACATCCAAAATTACATTTGGGTTAGAAACCACAGCCAAACCTGATGTTTCAAACTTGCTAGGAGGTGCACTTCCTTCTTGCTTATTCTGGATAGCACTGCATGTATCAGCTCCTAACCTCTGTGCTGAACTTTCCACAGCTTGGGTACGCCTGTTCAACTCTTCCAATTTTGCTAGTGCCTTAGCCTTCTGGTCTCTTTCCCGCTCTTCCTCCTCCTTCTGTAGTTGTTTGGCACGTTGTTTGGCTACCTCCACCCTCATAGCACGCTGGCACAAAAGGTCCAAAAACATACTACATTAAACTTCGGGTACATAAAACAAGAAGGCATACAATATAAAAGCAAATTACCTGCACCTGGTTAGCACTTGGGTCATGTATAGTTTGCACAGGTTCTCCCTCATCCCTTGCTTGAGGGTATCCAGACTTCTCTGCAGCCCCAGATAAGTGATCTTGCACATTTAATTTAGAATTTTGCAAACCAGCAGTAGGTTTCTTCTGCCATCCATCAACCTCTTGAGAATTGAATCTTCCTCTGTCACGATGATCAGTTCTACAATGCACACCATGACTAGATCTCCTGTAAATCTGCAAATCAGTATTTTCCCAACATAAAAAATAACCAAGAAATCATCAATGTTAAGCTGCTAGTTGTAAATCAACCTGGGAATGACTGCTCCACTGGCAGCGGTTGAATCAAGGCTCCTGTCTACTACATAAGTACCAATTTCATTAGAGGCAGAGTTACTGATTGCCGGACCATGCATTCTATCAGGATATACAGCACCAGAACCAGTTACACCTTCATTTAAAGAATGAATAGGCTTCACATTGACATGTGATTTACTTTTCTGCTCCTCCTTATTAGAAACATAAGTAGCATCATATCGCCCATCTGAAACTCGAGCCTTTGCATTTAAACCCTCTATTTTCTTAATCAGACTAGAATCTTTTGAGGCAGCTGAGACTTCTGAAGAAGAAGCTGGATGTTCCATTCCCTCTGCTGAAAAGTTTACATATGTTTTAGCATTTTCTGCAGTTTCAGGTGACTTGACTTTCATTGACACAGAACCATCACTGCATTGGTCAACAGGAGCTTCTTCACAAACCGTCCCCCTTAAATTCAGCTCTTTGTCTCTGTGTTCTGCTTTCCAGTCATTTTCCCAAGATGATGCTTTCTGTTGGCTATCTTTCTCTACACTAGTTGGTATATTATACTCCGATTTCCGCTCATCTTTGCCATCCCAACCATCACGCTGCTTCAAAAGAACCTTGTACGGTTGTTTTGTATCATGAGAATGGTCAGATTCCACATGTTCTGAGGCCACAGCTTTTCCTGAATGACCATATCCACTGCCTCTGGCATGGGCGTTACTGATATTGGGAGCATTTGGACCAGGGTACCTGTTATAAGGAGCAGGACCAGCTGCCATTCCCATAAACTGTATATCTCGTTCACTGGGGTTACAGTAGCCCATGGGTGGGCCGAAGTAGCCATCATAGGCTACATGATGGGGGTAAAAGCCAGGCCTAATTGGCATGGCTGGGCGAACATAAGCATCAGGCATTGGGGGCCTGTACATATCTCCATTTTTTGGGTGGTGACCTCTTGGACCAGCGCCTGGAGGAGGAACAGGCTGTGGATTAGCAAGAGCAGTACCTGAAATCTGAGGTCGATAATAAGGAAATGGTTCCAAAGGAAAGCAACCAGGTCCAGAAGGAACTGGGGATCCATATGGTCGACCTCCTGTTGGCCCTCTATACCAAACACCACCTGGGTGATTATTGATTGAAGGACCATGCCAAGCATCATAATGCTGGGGGTGAATACCAGCATTTGGGAATGGGTGGGGCCCTTGAGGATCTGCATGCCACTTCTCCACACTGGGATGAACTCCATCTTCAGGATATGGGGGATTATCCCTTCTCCAAGAACTTGAAGTTCCACCCCTTACATTTTCACATACAGAAACATCACCTGAAAAACACACATTACCCAAAAAAAAAAAAAGAACTAAATAAATACTCCATGAAAAAATTCCACAGAACAAAAGTTGAGACATTGAAAAGATGAAAACATAAACAGCAGACAAACCAACAAAAGGGGCGTCGATCCTCTCTTTCATTGCCGCTACTTCACTAGAGGATGAGCCTGGCAGGCCATGAGAACCACGATCTGCAGTCAGAGTTAACTAAGTAATAGAAAGAAATGCACAAAATAATCCAGTGAAGACCTAAACTAGATTTCCCATCATATGTCAAAATGAATATACACAAATAACAGCTAGACTGACAAAAACCTACTATTAGTAATATCTTAAGCAAGGCATAGAAATATCTTGATGATGTGCTGAATTAGAAGTTAAATACCAATATAAAGAAAAAGAGAACATGGAACATGATTCAAAAGAAACTCCCTGATCAACAATTTAAAGACAATCACAGCAATAACAGCACCTTGTTATCAGCTATTTAGATTAAAAGTGAATGAAATCAATTGTAGTATTAAAAATTATAGCAGGGCCTGCAGAAGTATTAAACTATGAAAATAATGAACTTTTTAAAGCATTGTAATTTATGAAAGAAAGAAAGAACCCAGCTTCAAACCACATCACAAAAACGGATTGTTCACATCATAAATGAACTGCTCAAGAATATATATATATATATATATATA